CTCCTCTCTTCCTCCGCAGGAGCCGTCTTCACCTGCCTCTCTCACTCAAACCTGCTCCCACGAAGCTACCCCACGCCTGTTGACTCAGGTACAAAGTGGGGTCCTCCCTAGGAATATCTGCATTTTCACAGAGGATGAATCCATAAAGCCATGGGGATCCCCAGTGACACAGATCCAGGGGACACAGATGGAGGTGGCCCTGTGAGAGCAGGGTGCATGGAGGTCACAGCACAGGCTCTGTATAAGGACCCAGGCCCACTTATTCACAGACTGACACTAGGCTTGAAGACACAGGACAGGCAGTGGGTTTGGAAGAACAGAGTGGTCCCCATGGTCCCTTCCGGATGACCTGAGGGACAGAGTGGTGGTGGCAGATGAAGAGCAAGACCCACGGAGGCCTGCAGAATCTGCCTTGCCTCAGATGTGGCTTGTGGCTTCTCGGGTGACCTGGTCCTCCTGCGTGGCCAGATGGAAGGCGTCCCAAGGATGACACCGAACATAACAACCAGGAAGCCCCCCCACAAACAAGGCCATCACCCTCACACACTGGGAGTTCAAAAGTGAGTCCATCCAAATCAGGGACCCAACAACTATCCTAGTGAAGAGGGAAGGAGGAGGTGGATTCTAATGTAATGCTGAAGACGGAAATGAAAGTAGCAGCTCCAGTTTACTCCACACCTACATTCAGCTGTGTGGACCGGGTTATTTTTACATGAGTTTATTGCGGGGCGACATCCTGAAGCACTCTGTACCTTGCATGTGACTTTTCTGGCATGACAATCCATCATTCCTAAAGTCATTTCAGTGCTTAGTCCCCTTCCTCAAGCACCACTCAGTCCTAGGAGTCCACACGTTCCTGGTCACACCTGCGCCTCATGCCTCAGCCCTTGTGCACTTGCAATCCTGCTGCCTCAGACTCCTGAATCTCTGGAATTACAGAGACATGCCACCGTGCCGGGCCGAGCCAGGCCTTTTTACAGCTCTCTCTGAGAGCCATGCTTCACCTGGAGTAGAGGAGAACTCAATATTTTTTGAATAAAGAATCAAT